CGGTCGACTTCCTCATCCGGATCCTCCTCGGAGTTCCCTTGGACGACCTCTTGGTGCACGGATGCAACATCTGGACTGTTCCTGATCGGCCGCATATTTTTGATGGCGCCGCCTGCTGCTTCTTCTGTGGTGACCTCTCTTAAGGCATCTTGGAAGGACAGTTCTTCTTTGGCGAAAAGCCTCTGTTGTAGATCTCGATGCCTTAAGCCGCACACGAATCGGTCCCTCAGTCGTTCTTCGAGGTCCTTGAACTCGCAGTGCTTGGCGGCCTTCCTCAATGCGGCGATGTATTCTTTGGCCGACTCTCCGGATCGTTGATCCCTCTGCTCGAAGGTGTGGCACCATGCGATGACGGACATCTTGGGCTGGAAGTGCTCCTTCAATAGCTTCTTTAGATCTGCGTAGCTGACAGACTCTAATGGGACAGGTGCTGCAAGGTTCTCTGCGATTTCGAAGGCATCTTGACCGCAGACACAAAGCAGGGTGGCAGCCTTCAAGCTATCTTCCCTCACTTGGTTCACCTTGAGGTAATTTTCCACCCTGGCTACGTAGGATTCCCACTGCTCTGGATGTGAGACGTCGAACTCCAAAAGCCTTCCAACCTTTGCCATTTCAGGAGACGGGTCTATCAGCCAGCCTACCCCCGAATGCGCACTGGATTGGCGGGTAGCTGCCGAGTCAACGCCGTTCCGTCGTTCCGCCGCTCAGGACTCACTTGGGTAAGCTTACACCTCTTTCTTTCCAGGCGATGTAAGGCATCCCATCCTCGTCGCCAGTGTTGAGTCCTTGGCGAAAAGCAGACGCGAGAAGCAGTTGTAGTTCTCAGGTTTCCTTTTATTCAGTGTTCAGCTTACAAGTGAAGGCTTCAGCAACACCCAAAAGCTCCTAGCCTCTTATATAGGCAGTTCCCGGGTCAATGTGTTACTTTTCCCGCGCCAGCACCCGTGCATGCGCACAGGCTCTGGCGACAGCCTGTCTGGTCCCGGGCAGCTTGCACCTGCCCGGGACTGCCTGCAAACGCCCCGAGCCCGTTTGCAAGGCTCGGGACATAACACTTTCTTTCATGGCTTTTTCATTTTAAGCTACTGTTACTATTCCTTATCCTATTTCCACTTCACATGTACAGCCTAATTTCTTTTTCCAGAGGTTCATCCATAACTTAACTGCCTTTCTGACACATGGCACATCACAATGTAAGGTAGCCATTTTCCTTCCCACATATCTATCTTAAAGAATGTCAGAAATAATGTGGAAAGCAGTAGTATGTATGACACAGTATAATAGCAGCTAAGTTTTGAGTCACCGAATCTCAATGCAATTTATTACCTTGTTTTTGGTCTGTAAGCCTCAGATGTTGATTATTGTATTGACCAATGTCTTATATTTCATTGTAAGCTTAATGTATTTTCAGAGATTTAGTTTTAATCTCTTGTCGAAACTATTAAAGTATTACTAGGGATTTTCCATCTCAATTCTTTTGCTTGTAAAATACAATTTGTAGGGGATAAAGCCATGGAAAATCCCAGGCATTTGAAGATTTCATATTTTTTTGCTATTGTTTCTAGAAGTTTCCCCTGTTGCATTAATCCACTATGATGTACTTACTGGAATATCCACATACTTCATGTGAAGTCCCCTTTTTCATTCTAGTTTTTAAAACAAGCATACCCAAGGACAAATTTCACAGAATCCTGAATTTAAATTAAAAGGTAATAGCAATATCTTTGCAATATTGGAGAAAATGTATATCTAATTTGATAAATACAATTTGAAACATGTTGTAAGGTATTACTTTCATATATATTCCAACATTTGAGTGATGAATGTATTACTAAATTTTAAATCTTATTGAAACTCATAGACAGTTCTCAATGGATTTTGCCCCATATAAGTGATTGTTATATGCCTTACTGCCTCATATAGTACACTGAACTGATAATAAATCTGATTGTTTTTTAGGCATAGCTCAAAGGTCCCCAATCTTTTGGGCACCAGGGACCAGTTCCATGCCAGGCCAGAGGGTGCGTGGTTTTGTGTTCTGCCTGCATCCTGTGGATGGAGCTTTGCTTGTTTGTGCGGACCAGTTGTTAGCATGTTGCGGCCTGGTATTGGTCCACGGACCAGGGGTTGGCATAGCTGAATGAGAATTGTGATCCCTAGAACTCATTTAACAGAAAATATATCAAGATGTAGGTTTACTATAGGAGTCTTAAGGAGTAAAATACTTGCATGTAATGCTTTGAACAATAGAAACTTAACCCTTGTTAGAAAATTGGGACTGTGGTATTTTCCATTGACTTCGGAGTAAATGGAAACAAAACCCTGTCTATATTACTATTTTATATATGTGCAAAATACCATTTGGATTTCATGGGCAGTTTGCTTTAATGAATTCTCCTCTGTCTTTTCATCCTATCTTTTCTTTCTTTTTTTTATTGAAAAGTTTTAAGTTTTACAGAACAATTCCCTTCCCCGAACCCTCCCAACCCTCTCCTACCCTCCCCCAACCTTCCCAGAGCTGAATACAGGCTTAATTAAATTTTTTAAAAAAGATCCTAAAACACATATAAACCATAAACAAATCTAAATACATTAATTAAACAAATTATAAAATAGTTAATAACAATATATTTATATATAAAAAGAAAAAAAATGCAAGAAAGAAGGAAAAAAGAAACAGAAAAAGAAGAAATCAAATAAAAAGAAAGAAAAATAAAAAAAAATTAAAAAAAAGAAAAAAATGTCTATAAAATATCTTAAATTTTAAATATAAATTATTCAAAAACTAAGTAATATTTTTATATCCAACTTATATTGTATGAAATCTATCCATTTTTTCCATACCAAAAAATACTTCTCTTGCGATTGATCTTTCAAGAAAGCCAAAATCTTTGCCATTTCCGCCAAATAGGAAACTTTAAGAAACCACTCTTGCAAGGTAGACAAAGATTCCTTCTTCCAACATTGCCCTACTAACAACCTAGCCGCTGTAATTAAATTTAACATCAATATAGTCTCTTTACTATCACAATCAGAAACGATATCTAACAAAAACAATTGTGGGGTAAATTTTACCCTTCTTCTAAAAATTCTTTGGATATTCCACCATATCTTAATCCAAAAAGCTTTTATATTTTTACATAACCACCAGATATGATAATAAGTAGCATCCAAACATCCACATCTCCAACATTTAGGCTGCAAGTCAGGATACATACGAGACATTTTTTGTGGATCAAGGTGCCATCTGTAAAACATTTTATAAAAATTCTCCCTTAAATTCTGGGCTTGTGTAAATTTAATATTCCTCACCCAAATAATTTTCCAGGTATCTAATAGGACCGGTTCTTCAAAATTTTGTGCCCATTTGACCATACATTCTTTAACTAATTCTGGTTCTGAATCCAATTCTACTAACACCCCATAAATTCTCTTAATGTGAGTTCGTCTTTGATCTTTTATTTGTTTTAACAAATTCTCATCTTCTCTAAGCAAACCCATTCATCCTATCTTTTCATCCTTAGTCTGCTCAATGGAAGTTACACTCTCTCATCACATTGGGATTTACTGTCTTTCTGCTTGGTCAATGTTTACAAATGAGATACTGTAGTAGTTATCCCATATTATATTAATAAACAAAAATGACACATGTCTAAACCTTACTTACCCCATTACTGTCTAGTATTAAACTAGATTTTCTTTATAGTTATAGACACCTTTGATTAGAATTGATTTTCATAGTCATATTGAATTTCAATAAATTAAAATTGACTTTCCACATTATTAGAGAATAATATGCTATGCAATATGAATGAAAATGATTTCTAGCACATTCCTAAATTATGTTTTTCTAAAAAAAAAAAATCATCAAAAATTGTGGAGCACGGTGGCTCATGAGGTTAGAATGCTGGGTTGACAATCAGCAAGCCGTGTTTGAGACCCGAGTGCTGCTGCATGATGGGATGAGCTCCTCTCATTTGCTCCAGCTTCTGCCAACCTAGCACTCCAAAAGTGAATAATTGCAAATAAATAGATAGGTGCTGCTTCTGTGGGCGCATTAATGGGGACATGAAAGGAGCCCCCAACCAGGTGTCCCATGGGCAACTGTGATGTCACTGGCTAATCCTTTCAATCTGGAAGTGCCTTTGGTGCTTTCAACGTGAACAGGAATGGGGGAATCATAAAAAAAATGTTTTTCCTGATGGATGAACTGTAAATGATTTTTTCAAAGAATTTAAAGATGATGCTTGCATAGCAGCATTTAAGGACCAATCCCATAAGTAGTATTTTGCTGCATTAAAATATATTACCTGGCTATTAATTCAATATATTTCATATACATGGGGGGGAAGGAGAGACAAAATTGGCTAATTAGGACTATATTATATACTATTAGGACTACTATAAAGATCTGTTGGGTTTCTTTTTTTTCAAAAAAAAGGAAAGATTAAAATGCTGGCACAATAATTTAAGAACCAAAACTTACCTATTTTAGGAACATTGAAAAAGCACCATTAAGGCCATGTTTACTTGTAAAAACTATTAGCTTTGTAAAAATACAAAATTCCTCTAGTAACAAAACTGTAGAAGCAGGAATGAGAAAATGTGGGAGTACTACCAATGAATGCTAGTATCATGTGGGTTCTTCCATAAAATGTGAGTGACTGAATTATAGCAATTCCACACAAGAGCTCACATGAAACCCCGGTGGATTTCTTACCAAACCTCTTCCAGTTTTATGGAAACATTCCCAACCTATTAAAAGGAGAACAAATTTTGGACTATTTCTTTTCCCTCTATTATCTTTTGAATCATTGTCCTTATTTGGTTTAGAAACTGTAAGGCCAATGTGAACATTCAGTTTGGTGTTATTTTGATGAAGTGGCTGAGATTGAGATCCGATCAGAGGATTTTGCAATGGCACAGCAAACTAGCCTCAAGGAGTGGGGGGGAAGGGATGAACAACCTTGGGCTTCGTTTCCAAAACAAACTCTTTTCTTCATCTTATCTTGCGGTACAACCAGACAGTCCAGTAAGGGGAAGGCTAAAGATTAGTTTTGCCCTTAACTTGCCTATATAAGGAGACGCTCAAAGATTTACTTTGCTTTCACTCTTCCAATTTGCACTGCTTCTGCAGGTGAAACCATGCCTACGACTTTTTCCAGCCACAGCATGTCCTCTGGAAGCATCCAGGGACCCAGAGGAAGACGCCTGTTTGCCTTAGGCAGGCCTCAGGCAGTGCCAAGTATCCACAGGATTATCAGGGACAAGAGTGGGCTGTCATATGGTGATGGGCAGGCATTTATGAACACAAATATTCTGGACATGAATGAAAAGGGTACCATGAAAAATCTGAATGACCGTCTGTCTGCCTACCTAGACAAAGTAAGTAATCAGATAATGTTTACCTAATGGCAAAATCAGAGAAAGAAAAATATTATAAAGATATGTCAGAAGAATGGATATTTAAAGTATCTAGTTTTGCAGAAATGGCAAAAATTTCTGCTTATTTAAAGGATCATACACAAGAAAGATATATCATTGTATGGAGAAGATGGATAGATTATATTCAGAAAAAGTATGGAATTAAAAAGTGTCATTTATTTTATGAATGAATATTATAACAAATATTATAGAGAATTGTCTTATAGGTTATGGAGTTAAAGGTTAATTATGATATTTTCTTTTTTCTTTTCTTTTTTCTTTTTTTCTTTCTTTTCTTTTTTATTATTATAAATTTTGTTATTATTAACCCTGTATTCTGCTCTGGGAAGTGAAAGGAGGGGGGTTGGGGGTGGGAGGGAGGGTAAGAGGGGGGGTAAGTGTAGTATAGATAATGGTTGTTTATAGGAGTGCTGCCTGGGCACTCCCCTTATGCTGCGTTCATGGGTTTGATAGGGATGAGAGGAGAGAAGGTGTAGAGAGGAAGTAGGGTATTGAGAGGAGAGGGGGAGGGGAAAAGAGTAGGAGGGGAGGAGAGAAAGAGGAGGGAAATAGGGAATGTTTTAAGAAAGGGTGGATGCAGCCTGGGGGGAATGGGCGGGTCGCACCAATGGTTATGAATTTATCTTATTTTAAAATTGTATTGTAGTTTTATAATGTTTAAATGGAAAAATTAAAAATTTTCAATAAAAAAAAAGATATGTCAATCTCTGTCTTTGGGGCATTTTTGTGGAATATTTTAGAATGATATAAGACTGATACTTGACAAGGAAGATGCTTGTTAGGTGATAAACCTTTTAGCATTTTTTTCTGGTAGGAAGATTCATATGGGACCATGTCCAGTTGCTCAGTGGCAAAAGAAAGATGTTGATAAATGTTTAGATAAATTATTAGCTCATAACCCTTTCTCCTCTCCAACAAAGACAATGTTTGATAGAAAATTACAGAAAAGCATGATTTGAGAAGATAAGAGGAAGAAAGGAATAGAGTCAAAAGACAATATTTTTTCTGTTTTTATCATTAGTGCTCTATCTGTTCATGGCTTTTAAGCATGCTGGTGAATACCCAGGGATTAATCTTGCAAAGCTGAGTAAGGGTCAAGATTCTTTGAATGCACTTTATTTAGTATTATACTTTAAAACAAAATATTAAAGTACCTGATCTACACTGGGACCCTGGGAAGTGGTTTTTTTTTTTTTAAATCTTGAAGCATCCTGATCTGCTTTATTTAATGGTTTTATTTATTGAGGAGACTTATTTTTATATGCTATTGGTGGGGGAAATATAACCCTGGGCAGCTCACAACATAAAAAGAAAACAGGAATATTAACAGTAAAATCATATTTCATGGTGCTCTAAGACAACACTCCCCCATACATATGCTATCAAAGCCAAACCTTCTACCTTCCATTAGAAAACCTCATCCTTGTGTGAAATAGGTTTCACAGTGCAACAAAGGTGTTCCAGAACACAGCACAATGATAATTATTTGGGCTTATGGATTAAAAATAAATAAATGCATTTCTATAACTGATTATATTCTGTATTCTATTTATTTTTGTGGAAAAAATGCTGTAGTTATAGAAGATTTATTTTCTTGCTTTATATTGCAGTGTCAGAAAGTTATAACTGAGACATTGAATTCAAATGATTTGGAAGTTAGCATAGGAAATGATTAATTGCAGGTTATTTGCAATGATCAGTCATTGCTCTTTTAAATGGCTTGATACACCATCTTTTTGGGGATGGGAGTGGGATAGGCAAGGTATAATTTCCCCTCAACTCCTTGTGTTTGGTATCACAGAAACATGGTTTGATTGCACTTTGATGCAATGTGTCATTAGTATGACAACACCCAGGATGGAATTGTCTTCTCACCATGAAGATGATATTCCTTGTCTACACAAATTAGAATCTCTTGTTTTACTCTTCTACAATGTCTGTTTTTATCTCTAACTTGACATTTCTCTCAATTTATGAGTCTCTTTAAGAGCTATAATTCTAAACAAGGGTTTAGAAGGTAATAATTAACTCAGAATGTTTAACAGAGAAAACACGATTTTGAATCCTCCAGTGCAGAAACAACTGAATAGGTTGTAATCCACCTTCTCAGTATGAGAACATGGAATCATATTTGCAAGGACAAATTAAAATGACTTTTCTTTTCAGACTTTAGACATAACAAGACACAGCAGAGCAGAACAGAAATGGTTCATATTCTTTCCATGGCAATAACCGTGTGATTAGCCAAGAGCAGTACAGATAATCCCTGAGTTGCGAACGTTCGCTTAGCAAATGTTTGAAATTACACAATAAGCAAGCTCTAGTGCTTACAAGCGATCCAGAAATTACAAATGTTGCTGCACCATGGCAGTCGTTCACCCTTATGAGCGACCACAGTGGTACTGCAACATTAACCTTGGTTATTCCCTCCCTCCCCACCCCTGCCTTGGGTCTCCCTAGGCACTAGGCCTTCAATACTCACCCTGCAAAGATCGAGATCCTTCGCTTTCTTGGCTGCTCCAGGCCTTTGGTGTGTTCTCAGAAAATGGAGGCCTAAAGTAATGTAAGATCACATGAGATCATTGGGGTGAGATCTCACGCTACTGATCTCACATGATCTCATGGTACTTTAGGCCTGTTCTCTGCAATAGAGAATGAAACCGAAGCCGGGGAACACTTCCACATGCCTCCAGAGGCTGGATTCGGGTGGAGGATTTTTCTAGACCAGTGGTTCTTAACCTGGGCGATATTACCCCAGGGGGCGATTTTGTTTTTCAGGGGGGCGATGGAATGAAAAGGGGCGATGTGGGGATGAAGGAACGAAAAGGGGGTGATATGGGGGCGATAGAGTGAGAAGTTTTGGAGACACTTTTGAGCCTGCCCCTATGGCTCCGAGCCTTCTACGCCATTTGGAGAGAGAGACAGAGACAGAGAGAGGCACTTATGCTTCTCTCTCTTTCTCTCTCTGATGCAGATTTGCCCCCTCGCAGGGCTCTTGATTGGCCCTGTGCTGGGTGCCCCGCCCCCTGGGAGAAGCACATCCAGGAACTCTGTTTCCCTGGCTAACCCCGTTCCAGGTGCACGTGGCTGGGGAACTGCGTGGGGGATCCCCAGGATCCCCACTGGGAGCAGCCCGCCAGAGCCTCAGCTTCCTGCAAGCCACAGACCCAAAGGAGAGCAGTCCCTGCAATCCCCAGCTATGGGACCATTGGCCCAGCTGGCCAGGAAGGCGCACCGGAGTCCTGGCTGCTTTGTCGGCGAAGAATGTGAGGTGAATAGAAGAAGTGGGGGAAAGAAAGGGAGGGGGGAGCCATTTTCCAACCAGCAGCAGAAGAGCCCTGGCCAGACCCGCAGGAGCGCCTCCTCCTGGGGCTCGGCGTCGGCTTCCTTGCCCTCCTCCTCCTCCCCTTCTTCCTCCTGCTGCCTCCCAGGTGGCAGTCCTGGCTGGGTTGGCAGCTGGCGGGGGCATCGCTCCCTGGGTGATGCTGGTGGGTCGCAGATCGCCAGGAGCATTGCGTGGTGTGGAGCAGCCCCAGCTCCTCCAGCATGACAGACCTACCGGCAGCATGGGAGGCTCCAGCATTGGTCCTGGCGGGAGGCGGATCATTGCCCCAGTTCTGACTGAAGACACCGGTGGCGCGGGAGAAGGTTTGGTGACGCATCTGATGGGGTGTTCTGCGGATGCCCTGCGATTTAAGCCCAGGGATGCCGGTGGTGCGAGGGGAGGCTTGGCGATGCAGCTGATGGGCAGGGCATTCTGCAGATGCCCTGTGGCCCTGACTTGAGCCAGGGGATGCCAGCAGCACGTGGGACAGCTTACCAATGTGACCGTGAGCCGGGGCGTCCCCGCAGGCCCGGCAGGCAGCAGAACTGGGTGCCTCCAGCGGCGACAGGGGGTCTTCTGCTGCCTTCTGCCCCCCTCCCCGCCCTTTCAGTGCCCTCTGCCTTTCGTTTTTTTCTTTCTTTCTCTCTCTCTCTCCTCCCCTGGAGAAAGAAGGGGGGAGGAAGGGAGAGGAAAGAGAAAGAGACAGGAAAGAGAGAGAGAGGAAGCGCAAGTGCCTCTCTCTCCCCCCCTCTCTCCTCACCTGGAGAAAGAAGGGGAGGGAGGGAGAAGAAAGAGAGAGGGAGAGGGGAAAGAGAAAGAGAGAGAAAGACAGAGGAAAGACAGAGAGAGGAAGTGCAAGTGCCTTTCTCCCCCCCCTCCTCACCTGGAGAAAGAAGGGGAGGGAGGGAGAGGAAAGAGAGAAAGAGAGAGGGAGAGGGGAAGGAGAAAAAGAGAGAGAAAGAGAGAGGAAAGACAGAGAGAGGAAGCCCAAGTGCTTGTCTCCCCCCCCTCTCTCTCCTCATCTGGAGAAAGAAGGGGAGGGAGGGAGAGAAAAGAGAGAAAGAGAGAGGGAGAGGGGAAAGAAAGAGAGAAAGAGAGAGGAAAGAGAGAGAGAGGAAGCGTAAGTGCCTCTCTCTCCCTCCCTCTCTCTCTCTCCTCACCTGGAGAAAGAAGGGGGGGAGGGAGAGGAAAGAGAGAAAGAGAAGGAGAGGGGAAAGAGAAAAAGAGAGAGGAAAGAGAGAGAGAGGAAGTGCAAGTGCCTCTCTCTCCCTCCCTCTCTCTCTCTCCTCACCTGGAGAAAGAAGGGGGGAGAGAGAGAGAGGAAAGATTTGACCACTCACCCAATCTGCTCTAAAGGCACAGTGAAAACACAGCCAGCATCCCCCTGAAAATCTCTCATTTTCACTCATTTCAAGCTAGCAGTTGTGGGTCTACGTAGCTTGACTACCCCTGTGATATATAGATTAAAATGTAATTATTAAAAGTCTCTGAATATTCAAACCTTGCCCAGCCCTCACATCTACAAAATTATTAGCTTTATTCTGGGGGAGAGAAATGAAAGTTTAATTAAATTCATTTCACATTTTAAGAGGTCTGCAGTATTGCAAAGTTTAAG